TCTTTTTTTTTTTTTTTTTTTTTTACCACATGTTGTTCTCGCTATAACCAGTTTACGAAAATATCATATCTGCACACTCAAACTTGACACAACTAAAAAAATAATAATAAAATATAAAATAAAATAAAAACTTGACACAACATTATCCCCATGTTCGTCCAATGCGGCATAGGATTATGCGTAATAGACTAGAAGGCGGAATAATGGATCGAGAGAGAGAAGGAAAGAGGAGCAAATAAACAGATCAAGTGGAAGCGTAATTGAAGGGGGAAAAAAACATGCATACATGAGACACCAAAAGTATAAAAAATGTGATACCCTTCTCTCCCAATTCCACAAAAGCTTTTATATCGCTCGTCACCAAAACCCCCGATGCAGACAGCTTATCGTTATGTGTCCGACGCACATCCCGCGATCGTCACCTACTTCGGCCCAACCAGCAAGTCAGGTTCATTCGTGTCTTGCAGTCCGTTGCAGTGGCATTCGTGAATGCAAAGGCACGCGTAATCGTCCGATCTTTGTGATTGCACTAACCTACACGGCAGTACATAGAGAAATAATCGCGCTTGCAAGATTTATAGTTGCAACTTGCAAGAACGCATGTGAAAATGGAGAGGAGATAGAGAAGAAGGGGCGGAAGAAGAATAGGGAATGGCTCATGAGTTGCACGGTGGAATCGTAGCAAGGGGAACTTAAGTTACTTAACCACACTCCAGGTGTCGACATAGTCTGCCGTGGAAAGCTTATGTTCCCCTTGCTACATTTCCACCGTGCAACTCATGAGCCAAGTGGAAAGCGTGAACACTCCAGGTCCATCATTTTGGACCAATCAGACTGGAAGGAGTTGGAAAGAAGGGTGAGCATGGAAAGTTGGATTGTGCACGCGCTAGGAAGAAATAAGGGGAAAGCTTATGAAGACAGTTGAGAAAGGTGAAAAGAAAAGAAAGGCCGTAAGAGCCCATGATAAATTTCAGCACGAAGCAAAAGGAAAGCGTTGAGGCCCGTGTGTAGAAGCGAGTGTTGTGTGCCAGTGCAAAAAGTTGCACACACAGAGGTTTGTATTGAAATTTGAAACAGACGTAGTTGGGCGAAACTGCAAAAAACATGGGAGTGCATATTCTTCCGTATGTTACTGATTAGAAGTACCCAACCAAAAAAAAAAAAAAAAAAAAAAAAAAAAAAAAAAAAAAAAAAAAAAAAAAAAAAAAAAAAAAAACAACAACAACAACAACAACAACGCACACTTTGATCAACTCGTACGAAAAAGAATTTTCAAAGAAGTTGTTTCGCTCGCTCGGCGCAAAGTAATCTAACAAAACTTGAGAATGCAAGGTACCACTTCATGCAAGTTGTAAGGCGGGAAGCTCAGCTCGGCTCGGATAAAAGTATTGAAACAAAAAAGTGCTGACACGTTTCCACCCAATGCATGCACACAATGAGTCGCCTACCTTCTTCCCCCAAATATAACGTACGGTCATTATAGATGTATTTAAGACTGAAAGATACCCCGAATACAGCTACAATGACCGTACAAATGCAAACGTTCTGCTGATGTAAACTGTGCAACTACAATTTTGAAAATTTTCATACACAATTTATAGGAGTATGTTACAAAATTTTCAAAATTGAAAATTGTACAAAAGTAGGGGCGAATCGATGATTAGCAAGCCTTCGAATATTACACAAACTGTCGCATAGTCTGTGCAGGAATAAGTACGGCTTGGGTATCGGCCCATCACACCCGACATATTTATGTACATCACCTCCCATTTCCATACTCACACCCAACTGGCTTGGCGGGAAGAAACCGAAAAACAACAAGGCTTTTTGCATAACTTTGTGATGGGCCACAATCTCCTTAGTGCAATTTCCTCTAAGCTTTCGGGTTTCAAGTTTCAACCTATTTTGTGGTTGCCCTTTTGCAAGTTTGACTAATTGCCTAAATGAACCTATTTTGTGGTTGCCCTTTTGCAAGTTTGACTAATTGCCTAAATGACCTTCATTGTCAAAATGGACGTCTTTTATTTTTGAACGAAATCGAGACCGAGGTTTTTGGCCAAAAACTCATCCAAATTTGCTACTCATGATGGTCCTGCATTCTTAAACCGCTGGGCCGCCCTGGATGTATATGGACTTATCTTGAGACCAGATAAAGATAAAACCATAAACTTGCATAAAGTAATTAGGTGCGTGGTTAAAACGATTCAGTGTGTGGTTTTGAACATGGGTGTGTCTTCATGCAGTTATGATTATAGATAGAATAATAAAAAAGAATACTCAGTACTGTTGATTAATGTTGAAATTGGAAAAGTAAGGTGCAGCTACTGGCAAACCGCTCGGTCTTCGCATTAGCCGGCCCCCCATCGGCGGCCACGCCCCATCCTTCACTACCGCTGTTGGGGCAAGGGGATCAGCATGCAATCCCTTCACAGTGAGGTAGCTATGCTTGGAGGGGTCGCCTCTACATAGCCTTAGGAGTAGTGGTAGCTAGCTACGTAGTGAAAGGCAAAAATAATTTGAGAGAAGAAGATAGTGTAGTTTAAAGAAATTGGAGAAACAGTGGTGGTTCTGTTTGTTATTTTTTTTTTTAAGCGGTTGTGTTATTTCCTTTAAATTCTTTTTAAGCGGTCGTAACTAGAACAACGTGACACGTCAATAATGGTATAGCCAGTGTTTGCTGAAGGAATGCCCAGACGTGGGCCAGCAGATTCGTGTTCTACGTTGTGGCCGCAAATAGTTCTTCCGATTGCATATTAGCTGGGATGGAGAATCGGAGCTCCCTTTCTGGTTGGTTCAGTCTTGCTTTTTTCTGCCGACCTTTCAAAAAAAAAAAAAAAAAGAGCTATGCATTGAAGCACCCAAAGGAGAAGTTGGTGTCTATTTAGTTTGAAACGGAACCAATCATCCTTCTCGTCGTAAAATTTGAGCGCCTCGTTAAGGCTGGTTATGCTTTTTTTTTTCTTTTAAGAATTATGATCATTCACAAGAGCTTGATTTTATGGCGAAACATCACATGCTCGCAAGTGTGGTTGGCCATGGGCTTGGGGAGATGATGAGATGGGGACCCGCTTTCCATCACTTGTGTAGTAAGACGAAGCTGGGAAATGATGGCCCCAGTGAGTTCCACGGTCCCACCACCTCTCCTCCCCTCAGGCCGCCTGTACAGCTGGGCCTGGAAACGGTGCACTATGTATGCAATGTTGGCTATTTATGGTACGCAAGCTCATTCGGAGAGACTAAAGAAGGCAGCATCATAATTCTGGGCAGAAACAGGCTGCGTATAAAAGTGCCAAAAGAGTGGTTGTGAAAGATAACA